AGATACGCTTGGGACTACAAGGTACAAAATGTCTTCGGATAGATTGTAGGCCTGTTCACCTACTTTTGTTAAACTTCAGCTTGATTAAACAGTTGATTGAATAGTCTGCAATTGTCTGGCTTTACTTAGTACAGAAAGCCACACACTATGGTTGATGAAGATTAGTGACTGCCCCAAATGTTGGTCATAACATTTTAGATTTTTGTAATAATCCAGCATCTCTGAGGTTTTCAAGTTAAGAGGAATTTAGCTCTGTTTTCCAATAGTTGACCTGGGTTATTTTTGGTGTCTGTATATATTTTTTAAGTGGGCTCTTTTGTCTGGAGTCATCTTTCTGAGATCTTAAGAACAGAAGACCCACTGAAACAGCATCTTAGGAACTTTCTGCCAGAAGAAATCATTCTCAAGGAATTTGATTGGGAAACATGGAAATTTTCTTCCTACACAGATGTTACCTTCCACTCAGGTAGATAAATGCATTAAGCACCATGCTTTAGGAAGAATGAATGAATGAATGAATGAATCAATCAATCAATCAATCAATCAATCAATCAATGAACAAATATCAGATTAAGTCTTTGGGTTTTAACGCATTAGGTCTTAAATCTTGGGCAACAAAGGATGATCAGTAATTGGCTGCTTGAACCACATTTCTTCAGACATCTGAAATTATCTGTAGAGCTTTTTTCAGTTTATAAATAAAGGTGGTCATCATATCCATAAAATCTGTATGTTATTTCTTAATGTTTAGAACCTTTTAAAATACAGGTCGTCTTCTACCTGTGTAGAAAAAAAAAAGGCACGTAATAACTCAATCACATATCTGAAATGTGAATCTGTATAATCAAGATGCACTGTTTGTTTATTTGTGTCAGAAGCATCACGAATTAAATTAAAATTAAATTTAATTAATTAAAATAGACAACATCAAATTTAATATATAAAATAAAGATTAAAATATGTACAAGTTAAAGAAATCTTGCCCAGAAACTAGCAACATTAACTGTGTTCTGTCTTGTGCCATGAGGTCCTGATCCTGCACTGATCAGGAAAACAAAGGGCAGGTGTGTGTGTGTGTTGTATACAAAGTTGGACACTTCAATAAGACAAGTTTTTCTTCTTACTGATGTATTTCGGGAACTCTTTCCATTCCAGCATTGGCCAGTGGAAATGCTGAGGCCCAGGTCATCTTCTCACCTACTTCTTTTATCCCACATTTGATCCTGACTAATTTCACAATCCATCTGCTGGGACAGGCTATCAATCTTTTAGAGGCAAGTAACCTGAAATACACTAAGAACCAATTCCTACGTAGAATGCTGCGGGTAAATTTAACACATGCAGGAATCCAGGTTTGTATTCTTAGGTCATTGATCCAGCCACGACCAGCATCTCCAGGCTGATGTCCTTCTAGATAGGCAGGAACCAACAGCTGTCAGTTGGCTCCTACCCAACAGACATCAAAAGCTTTGCCTCCATAATCGTACAAAAGTCTTCAGTAGAAAAGTCTGCCTTATTTTCAATGTTGAAGCAGGATTTAATCAACCAGGTTCCATCAAATGCAGAATTAGAATTCACCATTTCAGTTTGGGTCTATTTTGTGTTTTGTTGTGGTTGATTTCCAAAATCTGAAAAGTTAGTTATGGATGTGTTGAAAATATATTGTAAGCCGCCCAGAGGCACTGAAAGTAAGTGGGCAGCCATATAATTTTTCATAAATAAATAAAGTCCGTGGCTCTGAATTCAGGTGAAGAGTGATCTTTTTTTCCTAGGCTAGACTCTTAAGACTCTTCCTAACAAGATGAATTGATGGAGTTCACAAGAATTTCAGCAACTAAACCTCTTCCCGCTAGCACTGATTTATCTCTGAAGAGAAATAAACAAGGCAGAACTTTTCAGAATTTATTTTTAACAGCTCTTCCGTGATCAGGCAAGGAGAGAGTTCGTGTTGCCAATAATGGCAAGAGTTTATTTATGCAGCTGTCTCCTGAGCGATTATCGGTCAACACTTTCATACAAAATATAATACCAGCCAATATGAAGTGATAATAATAGCACCAAAAGACAAATGAGTACCAATTATAGTAATTTGTGTACTGATGATGATAATAACAAACATGAGGTATAAAAATCAGTATAACTATAAAATATTGAAATTGTTTTTCAATCGTTCTAAAGGTTTCTCTAAAATGCCTGGGAAGATTAAAAAGATCCTTCTCTAGTGTTGAAAGAAAAGCTTTTAACATATGTCACATTAGTATTGAATAAACCCTTTTTTCATTGATGGTCCTTCTCATTTGATGGGGTCAGCCAGAAAAGTATCCCAATGGCAAAATACGGAAGGAAGCAAATAGGTAACTGGTCTACCAAGCATTTAGGGTTTTAAGATTAAAAACCAACATTGTCCTTTAGCAAAATGTCTGATCCTGTAGCCTTCTAAATATTACACAACCATTATTTTTAGGTTAGAGTCAGATTGGACAATATGGAAGATGTTGTCCGGACATTTTTTGACTTTCAAGACACCAAAGGAAGACGTGTTAAGCCGGAATCTCCTATGGAGATGGTGAACAAGATTCCTCAAAATAAACCGTCATCCAAGCAATTCAATTTGAAGAGTCACCTACCTAAAGGAAATAAAACTGCACTGAGAATGGAAAGCGATTGTCCAAGTGGACAATACCATAAGATTAATGACTTTGTGAAAAAGGTACGTTAACGTGTCATCCGTGGATATTCGCTTGTTCCATTTAGGATCACTTATATCCGAACAAGGATTGTCTTGGGAGGGTTCCCATGTTTGAGTAGCACTTAGATTAGGTTATTTCACATGGTTTCTCTCGTTCTTTTTTAGTTCTTTTGCAGTCTGTCCTGATGATTATCCATCCTACCGATATAAGATGAAGATATCGAGACTTCAACCTTTTGTTACTTTTCTCTAGATGTCGATAGAACTGGTATCGGAAATTGACAGGTAGGAACCAGACTGGGTCGTACCAAACCTAATTTATTAAAAAGGATCTTCCGGGTAATCTTTGCAGAAAGCACACAATTTCATGCAGAAGCTCTTTGGTCCAATTCCTGACATCTTCCATGAATAGATTTGATGTAGTAGAATGAAGAAAGTGCTCTGTTCACATTCCTGGAGAGTTTCAACCAATCATAGGGCTGCAAGGGATCTTAGAGGTCTTCTAGCCCAATCTCCTGCCCAGGACAGGAGTCCTTATACCATCCTGAATAAACAGTGGCTCCATTTTTCTTGAGAACCTCCACTGATGGAGCACCCATAACTCTGGGAGGCAACCTGTTTGATTGATTAATTGTTCTCATTGCCAGGAAATTCCTCCTTATTTCCAGGTTAGGTCTCCTTCTCATGAACTTCCACCCAATGCTTCTTGTCCTGCCCTCAGGTGCTATGGAAAATAAATCAACACCCTCTTTCCTGTGACAACTCTTCAAGTATTGGAAGACTGCTATCATGTCTCCATTGATCCTTGATAGCAGCCAGTTATCAGCTATCTAATAGCTGCTTCTGGCTAACTTTTGATATACTGTAGGCTTAATCTGAAACCTCTGATGGCTTCAAAGTGTTGGATTTTTTCATATATATTTTTTTGCAACTGTGTTGGATATGGTCACTTCTCTCTCTCTCTTTCTTCTTGCTTATGTTTCAGTTCACCCAAAAAATGGGGAAAAAGAAGAAGCCGAAATGCAGAGTTAGTCTCAAAATCTTTGGAAATGAGCTGATGATTCTTGACTGCGGCGATCTCAGAGGCCAAGCAAAACATTACTCTTTGAACCTGGCAGAGCTAACCATGAAGGTTTTGAAGGTAAGGGAAATGGGATTAGTGAAATCATTTCCAATCGGTGAACTCCTCTTGACACGGTTAGGAAATTTCAGTAGGAACAACCATCAAACTTCTTGAGAAGGTTCATCTCACTCTGTTTCCCCACTTCCAGCATCCATACCTGACTGTAGTAGAGAAAATAACTCCAAGTCATGTTAAAAATTGGTATTTTATTGCTTTATGCCAATTCACCAGCCCTTCCCACAAGCCAGTTGACTTATCGTCATGTTTACTAACTTCCCAACAGGGCCAAGAAGTCCAGTGGAATAAAAGATTGAGTCTGGCAACAGAAGAAGTGCAGTTTCCAACCATCTCAGGGTTGCCTGTCCTCCTGGGGTTTAATGCTTCAGCAGCTGTCAACCTGACCGCCAGAGGAGACACAAACGTCAAGAAACACAACCATTTTTTCATCAGTGGCTACCTCAAGCCAAGGTAGTGAGCTTCCAGAACTGTGTTATCTTTCCAAATACTAATTGTCTTCATTCTTCGCATTATTTCCAACCCAATACAGGTAATCTTCAATTTACAGCCCTTCATTTTGTGACCCTTCTAAGCCGCAATGGCACTGAAAAAAGCGACCGAAGGACCGTTTTTCACACTTATGACTGTTGTGGCATTCCCACGGTCATGTGATCAAAAGTTGGCTGCATGGCAACTGACTCACATTTATGATGGTCGCAGTGTTACCGGGGGTCATGTGATCCCCTTCTGCCACCATCCGACAAGCGAAGTCAAGGGGGAAGCTGGATCCACTTTACAACCGTGTTGCTAACTTAGCTACTGCGGTCATTTACTTAGCAAGAAAGATCATAAACTGGGGCAAAACTGGGGCAAAACTCACTTAACAACAGAAATTTTGGGCTCAATTGTGGCTGTAAGTCGAAGACTATTTGTGGGAGAATTGAAAGATAAATTATCTCAATGGATTTGAGACTCCGTCAGCCATGTAAAGAGATTTTTTTAAAAATTAAAACTCTGTATCAAACTCTTACAATGAAATCTTCTTCTCTATATATTTTGGCAGTGTTATTCTACAGATTTCTGCCCAGATGGGAATTGTAGGAGTTCTGGGGGACTCTGGTTTGAAGTGGTCAACCGTCTTGAGGTCCTCGACCAACCTTGATGGAGGAATCCAGCTGAAAAAGGGGAAAGAATTTAAATTTTTTTGGAACACTCCCGAAGACGCCATGGAAATTGTACATTTCAGGTAAAACAAGACACAAAAGACACAGAACCAGCGGTCAGTTAAATGTTTCTGGAATCTCAGCTCAGTCCCAGCCAACTTAGAGAGTTTTGCAGGGATGGGGGTTGGGGTCAAAATAAAATATTCAGCTTTCCAGAAATGGATCCGTGCATTGCATAAAACGAACTTGTATCAACAGAGGCTGAAATGGTGATCAAGTGAGGTGAGACGCTTCTATTTAGGTAGGATAATTATGTGCCACATAATCACACAAAGCTGTTTTTGTGATTCCTGTGTGTCAAAACTGCTCACTGAGCTGTCTTATAGGAATTCTGATTCTCTCCCTTTTTTATAGCTCTAAACTCTACGTTACTGCAAGGGAGAGGAAAAAAACCATTGGCCGTTTCCCGGGCCAAGCTGAACTATGCACTAGTGAGGAAGGTAAGGTGGCTAGCAAATTTGGCATCCATCCCCTTCCGGTGTCGTATTTTGCAGAAAAATCAGAAATGCTGCAAGGCAGATTCTTTTAAACCATCCCCTATTTTAAAGTCACTTGCCACCTAACATTGTAGGTAGAAATTCCACATAATCTAGAAGAAATGGACTCGTTAGAATGGTTGGAAATGCAGACAAAAACCAGGCACATGCTATCATCTTTGGTCAAGATTTTGGTCAAGAATATATATATGGTTAGAGAAAATGATTTAAAAACACATCAATTTTAAACCAAAATTATTTTTGTTAGGTGTAATTGTAGGAAATTACGAGAAGGAATGTGTATATTTAATGTTACATGTATTAACTGCAGCAAGAATTGTATTTGCCCAATATTGGAAAGAGGAAGAATGACCAGCGGAAGAAGAGATAATTAAGAAAATTTTAGATTGTGTAGAAAGGGACAGACTGACACTGAAAATGAAAGAAGATTCAGAATACTTTAGAACAGGGGATGCATTTTATCAATGGCTAGAAAAACGAGGTAGAGAAAAGGGAGTTTAACATGTATTAGTAAGCTAAATATTAAAACCCAGATAATAAAATATTAAGAACTAGCTGTACCCAGCCACGCGTTGCTGTGGCTCAGTCTGGTAAAAGCGTGTGTTGCTTTTACGTCCAACAGATGGCGCTGTTTTTCAAAAAAAAAGCATGTTTTACCTGTCACAGGTGTGACATCTATATAATTATAGGTATATAGAAACACGCGTGTATTCGAATGCAACGTTGTGTCAAAATTTCAAAGCAATCGGTGAAGAACTTTCGGAGATTTAAGATTTTGAACAAACGAACATTTACATTTTTATTTATATAGATTTGTGATGATAAAAAATTAATAAAATATTGAACCATAAAATGAAGAAGAAGAAGGCATTTCACATATAATGCATTTCCATCTTAGAACAAGACATGGCCCGTAGACGCTAAGAATATTTTCCTGCACGAATAGCACAAAAGAATGTCCTTCACTTTTTAAAACTGTTTTGTTCTTTTGGGTTTTAACTGCAGCATCGAAGACGTTCGGCTGGCAGCTGTGTTCAGAAGTTTTTCTCCCTGCTGACAAGGCCAGCAGCTTCCTGCTTCCATTCCCTGGACCTGTCAAAGTCGCCGTTACGCTAAGAAAGCGAGACAGGAGCCTACAGCAGTATTTAATAAAAGCAGCGTATCACTATGTTGCTCAGGTGTGGTCCTTGACTTCTGTCTGGTTTAGAGACAGACACACAGACAGACAGAAGCAACACATACAATGTTAAGAACTCAGTCTTGCGGTAAAAGTAGTCCTTGACTTACAACCATAACTGGAACCAAAATTTCCGTTGCTTAAGCTAGGTGGCTGTTAAGTGAGACACACCTGATTGTGAATTGTGCGGTCGTTAAGCAAATTGGGCTTCCCCCATTGACTTCGCTTGCTAGAATCCGTCTGGGAAGGTCCCAAATGGCGATGGGATGCTACAACCATTGTAAACATATGTGAAGTGGGCATGGTACAACCGCCCTAAGTGCGAAGACTGGTTTTAAGTCACTTACGTAGTGCCATTGTCATTTCAAACGGTTGCTGAACAAATTGTCGTAAGGTCGAAGACTCCTTGTATAGTTTGCAATGTACAGGAATACATGGGTAGTTGGTCAGTTTTGAAATTGACACTTTGAGTCTTCCTTTGATCTTGTTGGTCTTATGACTTACCTTTCTTCTTCTCCAGAAAGGTTCCTGGATTCCAAATGAAGCCGGCCTCCGTTTCTTTATGGGGACTCCGGAATCGGAGCTGAAGAGACATGTTGCTTTTGACTTCCACTGGAACGTCCCTCAGAAAAAAATCAGAATTGAATTCGTCGAGCCAAAGGCAAAAATGTTACTGAATGGTGAGAAGAATTAATGTCCAATTACAACTCCTTGGTGTCCATCTGTTGGGAGATCTAAGTCATCTCCATACATGAAGCACATAACAGTAGAGTTTCATCTTGAACACTGTATAG